ATGCTCTGATAAGAGCAGGCTCCAAGAAGCACTCAGGCACTGAGCCTGAGTAATCTGTCTGCAAGCCGCAGGTGAATGGCAGCCTGAAATTACCTGTTCTATGGCTGAATGAGCTGCGGTCAGTCGAAAACAGGGATGGTGACATCAGCTCTCCAAGATGGTGGCTGCTGGCCTCCTCTGTGGTCTGACTGGTGCGGAGAACCGAAATGGACCGCTTCCTTCCCCTGTCTCGAACCCAGAATTCAGCACTGAGTACGGTGCTTGCACGGCTGGCAGAAACTACAGCGCTGTATCCCTGCGTCGCTATCTCCTCGTTTCCCAGCGCGCGCTGCAGACTCTAGCCGCGGGGCGATTTGCTGAGTAAGCAGTGTTACCCTCCGTGCGACAAATCTCTTGCGTTTGAGTCCCCGTAGCCGATCCTCGTGGGATGGAAATCCTTCCTCCAGGTTCCGGAGCACCCCACTATTGCTGGAAATTCCTAACAAGATAGCCTTTAGCCGTCCTGACTCGTCATAATCTCACACAGTGACGCAGCACATGGGGGCAATGCACTCCCATCGCCGCCATCTTCTCCCTCCCTCTCGAGTTTTTTAGAACAGCTATGTTTCAACAAAATTTGTTCCTACCAAATTTCATGTAGAAGGTTGGCCTCCAATGTACTGTGTGAGAGGTGTTGGGGCCTGTATGAGGGTCCATTGCTTTTCTTGTGGGAGTGAGTTCTCATTGTCTTGAGACTGAATCGATTACCACAAGAAAAGACTGCTGCAAAATGAGCATGGCACCTCCATGATCTCCCTCTTCATGTGACCTCTTCCATACAAGCTTGCATCCCTTCCCCTTTTCACCTTGAAGCTCTCTTGAGTCAATAGGATGGACTTGCCAGCCTCTTCAACCATAAGCCAAAATAAGCCTCTTCTTAACTTACCAGTCTAAAGTATGTTATTATAACAACACAAAATGAACCAGTCCAAGAACAAATAATAAAGATGCAAAATCTCATTACTTCAGTTTATTGAGAAATACTAATATCACTACATGTTATTTACATTCTGATTTCCAAGCTGGAGGGAAAGGTGAAAATGATAGTGATCTCCCAGAAGTATACAAAACATGGAATTCACTTAGGCATTTTTAGCGATACAGTAGTTATCCTATGAACTTTGGTCCTAAAGAATCTGTTTCAAAAGACACATGATGTCAAAGAATAGAAGCAGAAGAATAACTTACACAAAAATCTATGTAATTCAAATGCCACATTGAAGTTACTTTAAGACCCATAATGAAGTCAACTCCACAAATAAGAATATGTCAGAATTTGTTAATCTCCTTTTTCTCTGAAGTGGCTTGCATACGTGTAGAAAAAATGTTTCAAGAATGAAATGAGTGTCATAGAATCTCTTGCACTGTTGATGCTCTCTTTTTGTGACTTCAGAACACTACAAATAATGTATTTAAAAATAAAATTTATAGGTAGAACCACTATTTTCTTCAAAATTCTAAAGACTTAGAAATTTTTTATTGTGAATTTTTCAATATAGGTAACATAAATTTTTAGCTTGAAAAACCTCGACTTTTGGGTCCTACCCATAAACGCTATGTTTTTTGGTCTGGGGTATGTCTTAGATGTGGTAATCTTTCAAAGCTCCCCACATTGTAATAATACAAGTTTCACTGCCACTTTTCTAAAGAATGGAATTATCAGAAAACCAGACTAGTCAGCAATAATTTTCTAATTATCTATAACATACCTAGCGTTAACATAAATACTATGAGCAATGAAAAAAAATCTGTCCTTAGTTGCTCAAAAGACAAAAATGATATGTGCAAAAACATGAACACTATATGAGCCCACACAGTTGGTGACAATATGTATGATGTCCATTGAAACGGTTAAAGAATACACAGGAAGGAACATATTTTATAGACAATGAAAGATACGTATTTACCGCAACTTGAAGATATGAATTGGCATTGCAACTGGATAAATGCTGAGCCTAGTAAATTACAAATCTAACTTGGATCTTATGTCTGCATGTAAAGATGTCTTCTACTAATAGAAAACTTATTCTGTATTTCTGCCTCTTTATAGGCATTCTTGGAAGAGAAGCAATCTCTAGTGCATGGGGCTTATATTAGACATTTGCTAAATGACAGTCATTGAGGTGAAAAAGTTTGACATTGCAATCACATTACTTAATTACTTAGTGCCTTAACGTAATAAAATATCATATCCCTAAAATTATTTTTATTTTTAATACTTTGGTTTATTTGGTAAAAACAGTCTGTGACAATTTTCGCCCTTAATAAAATATTTATGTTAAAAATTTCCTCCAAGTAATTTTGTATAAGGCCAAGAATAAACGATTATTTAATAAATTTTCAAAATTAGAACTATGTCAATTCTCAATATTCTAAAACAGTTTGAAAATCAGAACATTTAATTGATGCTGGAAATAACAGAGTATGTAACTAAGATTTTTTATTGCTGTGATAAAATACCTGAGAGAATCAACTTGGAGAAGAAAAGATTTATATTGACTGATAGCCTTCTGTCTATAGTCAGCCAGCTCCATTGCTTTGGGCAGAATATCATGTCAGAAGTACAGAGGAAAGCTGTTCACTTCACGCCAGCCCGGAAGCAAAAACAGAGGATGTGGCCAGTGAGAAGATAAAATCTTCCAGGGCATACCCTCAGATAGGTTTCCCCTCTCACAGCTTCCATCACCTCTCAATAGTACATTCAGTTGTGAATCTCTCAGTGATTTAATCCATTGATAAGTAACAGCCCTTATAATTCAATCATTTTCCAAAAGCTATACTGTTGAACTCTATTGGAACGAAGCCTTCAACACGTGAGACTTTGGTGGATATAACAGAGCCAAAACATAAACAGGCTTTAGGAAGGGCAATACAAAACTAAAGTCCCGAGTTCTGATGCATGAAAAAATAATTTAACCATGCCTTTGCAAACTTTGATCTGTGTAATGTGGATGTGCCCATAATCTGTGTATGGCTATAAGTATCAATATAATGTGTTATAAAACCAGTGGTTAAAAATACTGACATAAATTGCATGCACTGCATTTTCTTTAAATACCTAGTACAATTTTCTGTGTGTATGTGCATGTATGTGTAATTAGTAGGTATTAAATATTCATTGTTGAAGAAAAAAATATGAGGAAGGAAGATTATGTCTTTTGTTATTTGAAGAGGAAGTTTATAGTTGAGAATGCTGTGAGCAATTAAAAGATGAACAACATAATTTATAATGATGACATATTTTACCTTTGGCCAATAAACACAGCAGTGATTACACATAAAAAGCATGTAAAAATCAGAAATTAATGATGCATAATTTGTAAGTAATCTTTTAGATATTTTCCAATGAACAGTGCCAGTGTTTTCCACTAAAGGTGACTATAATTGAACAGCCAGCTTATCCATATGAGGTAGTTTAATGCCAAGTTTAAAACTATTAATGCATTCTTTGATTTTTACATAACAAGAAGTGCTTTGTATCTTTGACAATGAAAAAGCAGTGTAAACTCTTCATTTAATTAAAGATGACAATCAAACAATGGTTACTTATTTTTGCTACTTTATTCAATATTTCAAGATATATTTATCATGAAAAAGTTATCATTCTCATTTGTTTTGCAGCATTAGTCTAAATCCTGATTAGTTGATTTTCATACACTGAAATTTTTGTAATTATGAGAAGTTTTTCTTATGTACAGCATGAGAATTATGCCTATAAATTTAAAATGTTTGATAAAGATCTCCAAATTATATGTCATACCACATATTGCAATTGCTCATGACTAGTTCTTAAAAAAAATTCAAATCTCAAATGAAAAAAGAATTATCATATTGAAATGATTATCATATTGAACACTATTTTATCAAATGCCTGCTGCTGCATATTTCTAAAATGGCTATGTTATAACTCTTCAAATATTAGAGGTGGAGTTTGTGAATTGGAATAGCTGATTTGTTATAGATAGTCTACTTGATGAAACAGGTGATGTTTCCTGAAAACTAATTTTTTCTTCAGATGAGGGATAGACACTTCTCAGCCAAGATTATTTTCTTCTTAGATTACTTACTTCCTTTCAGTTCTTGGTCTGCATGATTTCTTTCTGCTCCTTATGCTACAAATCACACTCTGCCTCCAGTTGCTCAGCTGTTATTACTCAATTTCACTTCCTAATGCTTTTATTGAAGTTTTAATTGAAGGAGTATTGGTTCTGAAAAAGAACTTTAGTTATATATCTATGTATAAACACACAAACACAAGATTTTTTTTTTAAATTAGATAATTTGGTTTCATTAATCCCTATGGTCATAAAAATGCTATCAAGATAGATCCTGATAAAAACATAGTGATGTAATAATTTTCTGGGGCTCAGGCTGAGAAGTGCTGTAACTTCTCTGTGCTAAACATTTTATAGGACAGACTAAGAAAAGATTAAGAGATGGATAAATCATTTATTTCTACCAAGTCACTCTTTCACTTATTCTAGAAGATACTATAGAAAACAGAGATACTTCTGCTAAATAGCAAGAGAGCATTTACTTGTGCACAAGAAATAGAAAAGAGTGAAAAGATAGTTTGCCCATCCTCTATCCTGTTCACTAGCATGTATGGGTTCACTGTTGCAGGGTAAATTCTTCTGTTAACAGAACTTCAAAAGTCACAATGACCAAACACTCTATAAAGACTTACATGAAGCCGGATGTGGCTGCCTACACCTGTAATCCCAGTGACTCAGGATGCTAAGGCAGGAGGATCACAAGTTTGAGGCCACCCTTAAAATTTACCAAAGCCGTAAACAACTTAGTGAGATCTTGTCTCAAAATAAAAATTAAAAGGGCTGAGGATGTTGTTCAGTGGTTAAGCACCCCTGGGTTCAATCCTCAGTACCAAAAAAAAAAAAAAAAAAAAAAAAAAAAAACAAAACAAAAAACCCACAAAAAAAACTTAAAATAGAAAATGTCTTTAATAATGAGTTGTTAGGAAATCTCAGAAAATCTAAGTGGGCCTGTACAGTAACTCACACATTAACTTATTGAAACTGCAAATTCCTTACTTTTGAAATTCCTGTGAGACAGAAAGACTGTTAAAATTCCATTGGCAGTAGCCATGTAGTGTGAATGGCAAAGATACATTGAATGGGGGATGGTACAAACTGTTGGTTTAATATCTATGCTTGTCCTTTGACTTTAACTAGTTAAGTCATTTACCAATAAAGAAAATAACTAATTGCCTAAATTATTGTCAAAGAAAAAAATGTTTGAAAACTGGTGTTTTATAAAAACTGTTTAAAATCAAATAACATACACTCCTCTGAAAAATGTTATAAACAAGAAACTTTTCCATTTACAGTAATATTTACAAATATTTAATATTTTCCTTAAAGGAAAAATTATTCATCAAAGGCAAATTTTCCGGAGATTAATATTTTTTCCAAGGGATAATTCCCTTTGTTTATATTAAATAATGCGAATCCTAACTGGAGAGCCTTTGCCCAGTCACTTTTTCCTGAAAAGATCTTTTCCTTTTTATCCCTATCACATCCTTGTTAGATCTAATTAACTCCTAGTCATCTTAATTGGAATTTCATGTTAAGATAGTGAACATTAGACTATAGCAATGAAGAGTTTGCAGGAGATCTCCAAAGTTATTTAAAACTTTGAGACTGCCTGAGAGCACTAGAAAAAGCTTTCTTCATACTTTCAGTCAGTGACACTATGTTCTTATTTTCCTCTATCCAGCTCCTTTGTCTATCACATTTTATATTTTATTATTCATATTAATATTATGCATCATTAGTTAAAAATATCAGTTCTCAAATTTCCACTGTTCTTACTCCTGTAATTCCTTTTGCTCTGCTTTAGAACCCTGGATTCCTGCCTTCAAGGCCCACGTGGACTTCCCCTCAACTGGAGAAAATTCTAAACTTGGTGCAGCTGTTCCCTCTTTAACGTAACTCCAGTGCTATGACTTAAATATTCTAATCATAAGTAAATATTCTAACCATAAGTCTTGTGTTGTACTGGTTATAAATATTTTGATCATGATCCTTGAAAATAACTCTCCTTTCTGGATTAAGAAAATGCTTCATGCTCTATATTCTCCCCACAGAGATCCTATGGTCCAACCCCTCCCAGTTTCTCATCCATGCCTCCTCACTGTTTTTCCTGCTCCATGGATCACTCTCTTTTCCCTATTTTATTCCTTCTAAACTCCTACATATTGTTTATAATATAATTAATATTTTTTCATGATAGTCTTACTTAGTTTCTTAGGAATATTTGAGTGCTTTTTTTCTATGCTCGTGACTTTTTGGTACACATTTCTACCTCAATAATTTCCTGAATATGGCTGTTTATCTTATGTATATTTCCCTTCTAAACATTAATATTCTTGACCCTTGGACCCATTTGTTTTTATGTACATTTATTTCCAGTTCTTAATACTTTTCCTGAATGCATATTGAGTTTATGAATAAAAAATATTTATTTGAAATTCATGAACTATAAACAAACAGTTGGTTAAGATGGTCAGACGAGCTTCATGAATGTAATATATTTTGAACTGACTTTGAAGGAAATAATGGACATGGAACAATGGAGATGAGGCTGATTTACATTCCCATTGAAGGCAATAATTGAAGCAAATACATGAAGAAAATTGAGGACATCCATGGTTGGAGTATGACAATATTGGGTAAGTAAATGAGTGAAAGAGACAAAAGGAAGAATATTTTTCTTATGGCTTTTTAAAAAATATTAATTTGGTGAATTTACAGCTACACTTCTGAAATCAGTAACTCACAGGTTGTATTCATTTATAATGACCATGGATACATAACAATTGACACCTTGTTCTTCACTGGGCTTAGACCCAACTCCACACAATATCACCATCTATACCACAGAATGATGCAAATTCATGGTGAGGACTTACTAATCCTCTTGTACATGTACCTTCCCTCAGCTCTTCTTGTTCTCTCAAAGGTCAACTGATGACTTCTTTGGCCTCCTTATTCATTGTCTCTTAAGCAGGTGGTTTTTGCCAAAGGTTAACTCCCTTCAAAATAAGGTGCAAGGAATAAAGAAATCCATTTAGTGATTTATCTGGATGTTGCTACAGTTGGCTGTGATATCTCACTCATTGACATATGACATTTTTATATTTATATAATAATTCACTGGTGTACAAAGATCTGTTTGAACCCAATAAAAGCCAATCTTTCAGGCTGTGAAACTATTTCTAAACCCTCAATCAAGAATATATCTCATTTGCCTTTTATTTGGAGACATACTGTAGTTGTCTTTCTAACTTTGAAAGGTTAGTAATAATCTTTGGAATACTCACAGTCAGATGGGAAAAAAATCTAACCTTCATTAGGTTATTAAATTCCAGGTTAGGATTTTCACATTTATTCCAAGTTAATCACAAATGAAGGTAATTCATAATTCTTTCATTGTAGTCTTAAGCCCAAAGCAAAATCTTTCACATTCCTAGGTTTACAAAACAAATTTTACAATTATAGATTTGTACATCTTCATCACATTTTATGATGTTGGATCATGTCATTTACTCAAGCAATATTGTCCTTGGCAATTTTTTTTTATTCATAAAGTAAAGTAAAATAAATTCTGCCACTGAGGAAATTTTTAGGTACAATGACTGCATGCCGTCCTCTAGGTTTCAAAACAATCCTTTGTCTTCGATTGGTTTAAATGTTGTTGGTTATGTATTCACATGCTACTACTTCTTGAAGGGATCCCTCAGCCCAGGAAAACTCTTGAAAGGACAGCTTTATTTCTAGATGGATGATTTTCAAGATTTGTTAAGAGCCAGCCTTCAACTCATCCAACACATCATCTATATTGTAGACTTTTCTCCTATTTACTCTACTATTCACAGTATATTGTATTTCTTAGGAAAAATTATAATTCTCCTATTCCCTGATGACAATGTTCCAAACATAGTATTTCTTAACATTTCTCAGTTCATTCTCCCTCCAGGAACTTCATATATTCTGGACTCTGCCTAGTTTGTTCCATCCTTCTCCCATGGCTTGATAGTGAGCTTTGTTATATCTATTTAGCTTCCTCTAAATTTTTCCATATTGTAGACTTGTTCAGGTTCCCCTAGATTTTGTTGAATATTAAAGTTATTCATGTATAGTTGTTGAATAAGTGACTAAATGAGTCTATCATTAGCATATTTTATTTGCAGAAATTTATAGATGCTGAAAGTACTATAAATATATGTGTGGATGAGATGAGAAAGATAAAAATGAATGCTACTAACAATTGCTTAACATTTTAGAGTTTAGAAAGTAACTTCACATATGTTGCACATTTGAACACTTTTACCTTAGTAATAGAAAAATATTATTGGGTTAGAAAGGTCAATATAGCTAATAATATAGGATAAATTAGAGCTACGATCTTATTCACAAGTATAATGGTTTGTCCTGTATGATACGTTGGATTCACCTGACTTAAACTTTAGATTGCTAGCAATACATGTTCTAGATGAAATGCCAATAATATTAGGTGAATGACAATTATCACAAGTTGAGTATTTTATGGATATTCAAATACCTTTTTTTTCTATAGGAAACAAAAATATTTAAGTGTAGTCCTATGTGCTATGTCTAACTTAACCTCTTCATACTTGTTTCATCATTTCCTAACTCTGCTATAGTTTTCTCATCTATAAATGAGGATAATTACAGCACATATTTCAGAGGGTGATTGTGATAATTAAGTTAACTTTCTTAACATGCACAGAATTTTAACAATGCCCATCATAAAGTATTTCTTACTATATGAAAACTGCTCTTATGATTTTTGTCATTGCTATTAGTATTATTTTACATGCTTACTAAAGAACTTCTCTCAACAGAACACTAAAAATATAAAACATATGAGTTTTATCAGTAATTGATTTTTTGACCTTGCAAGAAGAAGGTTCCTTTTTAATTCTCTCATGTTGATTGAATGTGACTTGATCCTTAAAGCACTTCAATAATACTTCAATGATTAAAAGGAAGAACAAACTGCTTCAGTAGAAGACAGGAAATAATTAAGATGACATGAATCTAAACTAATGAAATTGAGACTAGAAAAACAATACAAAGGATCAATGCAACAAAGACTTGGTTCTTTGAAACAAGATTGATAATGCTCAGCCAAACTAACCGAGAGAGAGAGAGAGAGAGACAGACAGACAGACATACACATCCCCACATACCCACATAAACAAAATTAGGGATGAAAAAGGAAATATCATCCCAGACATTTCTGAAATCCAAAGGATCATTAGAAACTATTTTGAAAAATTGTACTGAAACACACTAGAAAACCTAGAAGATATTGATTAATTTCTACAAATAAGAACTACACAAATTGAGCCATGAGGGTATATAAAACCTAAACAGACTAATATCAATAAGATTAAAGCAGCAATTAAAAGCATTCCAGCAAATAAAAGCTCACGATCACAACCAGGAGTTCTCAGTCAAGTTTAACCCGGCCTCTAAAGAACTAAACAACAATCTTCCTCAAATTATCCCATGAAATAGAAAATAAGGGAAGACTCCAAAATTTATCCTATGAAGCCAGTATCACTCTGGCACCCAAATCAGACAAAGACACATCAAGGAAAGAAAACTACAAACCAATATCCCTAATGAACATAGGTGTAAAATTTTTTAATAAAATATTAGCAAACTACATTTAAAAACACATTAAGAAAATAGTGCACTATGATCAGCTGGGTTTCAAACCAGAGATTCAAAGTTGTTTTAATATATGCAAATCAATAAATGTAACTTACCACATAAATAAATTTAAGGATGAGAATCCCTAAATACAGAAAAAGCTGTTGACTAAGTCCGGCACCCATTCATTTTTAAAACACTAGAGAAACTAGGGATAGAAGGAACTTACCTCTATGTTGTGAGGGTTATATATGACAAACCCAAGGCCAACATCATACTGAATGGAGAAAAACTGAAAGCATTCTTCACAGAACTAGAAAAAAATATCTTAAAGTTAATTTGGAAAAATAAAAGAGCCAGAATGGCCAATGCTGTACTGGGCAAAAAGAGCAACATTGGAAGCATCACAATACTGATCTCAAATTATACTATAGAGCTATAGTAACAAAAACAGCATGGTATTGGTATTAATATAGATGTGAAGACCAAATTAATGAAATAGAAGACACAAAGAAAAACCCACATAGACACGGTCATCCTTCTTGACAAAGGTGCTAAAAATATATGTCGGGGGAAAGTAGCCTTTTTGGCAAATGGTGCTAGGAAACTGCATATGCATACATGGAAGAATAAAACTAGATTCATAACTTTTACTCTGCAAAAAATGTGGATTAAAAACCTAGGAATTAGACCAGGAACTATAACTTCTACAAGAAAACATAGGATCATCCATAAAACATATTGGTGCAGGTTCTGACTTCCTATCAAGGTCCCTAAAGCTCAAGAAATAAGATCAAGAGTCAGTAAATAGGACAGCATCTAATTTAAAAGATTTTGTAGAGCACAGGAAATAAGATCATAAAGTGCCCACAAAATGGGAGAAAAAAATCTTTGCCAGCTACTCCTTTGATAGCAGATTAATATCCAGAAAAAAATCAGTGGAGTAGAGCAAGACAATAAAGGGAGAAGGAAGAGGGATGCAAAAAGGGAGAAACTAAGGAATGAATTGACCAAATTATGCTGTGTACAGATATGAATACACTGCAGTGAATTCCACTTTATGTGTTTCTATAAAACACCAATTTAAAAAAAACAATAAATAAGTATAAATAAGTAGATGGAAGAAAAGTAGAGATAGAGGAACAGGTTGGAGGGAGAAGAAAGTGAGCCAGGAAACACTGGGGACTTAAATGGAACAAATTACATTCTATACCTGTATGATTATGCCAAAATGAACTCCACTGATAAATATAACTATAATGCACTAATACATAAAATGTAAAAAGAATCATCTTTGAAACTGATAAATTCCTTCAATATGATAACATCCAGTTCACATCTTCAGCAATTTTGATTCAGTAAAAATTTGTATTTTTGAACATCACTTCAAATGTTTTATTAAGTTATATTATGTACATGTATGCATATGGTGCATACACTACTATGTATATTATAATGCACTGATAAAAATAAACAAATAGAAGGAAGATGAGTAGAGTAGAGGAAAGAGAACAGAGAGAGGGAGGAGGAGAAGGAAAAAGGAAGTACTAGGGATGAACTAAAGCAAATTATATTGCATGCATGTATGATTATATCAGAATGAATCACACTATTATCTTTAAGTATGATGCATAAAAACATTTAGAAAATTTAAAAAGACACTTCACTTTTCTTAATTATATGGTATTTTTGGCAAAGTATAACAAGAATCTGTCTTACACAAAATCTTCTTTTCAATAAAATAGCTTCCAACAGCAAAATCATCAAAAATAAAATTAGAAACTAAGCAGTGGATGACCTGTTAGTCTCATTACCAAGTAGCATATTCTTTTAAGTTTTGCTGATTGGAAAATAAAATTGTTAGAGTCTGTAAACAAGTCAAAATAACACCTGGCATTTTGCCAGGGGAATGTTAGAGTTTGTAAACAAGTCTGGATGATGCCTGGCAAAATGCCAGAGGGAGTGGTTTGTGAAGTAACAAAAGCGAGCCATTAAGTGTGGAGATTCCTGATTGGTTGACTGCTGTATCTAGTTTATGCTAATTAGATAAGCTGTGTGGAATGTATAAATACTGCTCCTGTCCTGCAATAAAGGGCTTCCACTCCTGCTGTATCAACATACACAAGTTGTTCATCACCCCCCTGTTATTTTGCTGCAGCCCGGAAAATAAAATAAAATACTTAAGGTAAAATTTGAAAGTATACCTTACTGATTTTTGCTGAAGATATGAATCATCATTTCATACCATATAAAACACTTTTAGAAGCATATACAAAGTGGAATTTCAAAAATTTGAACGCAGAGTACTAGAAAGTTGAATGTTGGCTGCCACAAACTTGGGCTGGAGGAAATGGGCAGAGATAATTCAATCAATTAAAACTTTCATTTATAATATAAACAAATAATAGATATCAAATATACATCATAGGTACTGATTAATTTGCTAATTTTAATTGTGATAATTGTTGACAAAATAATCATTAAATACCATCTAATTTATAATCCATCCTTAATGAGTAAATACACAGTGTTTCATTCCTCTTTACCAAAATTGCAGAGACCTTAGAAATATTTTGCACGTGGAATTATTTGATACTGTGGTTTTATTATTTGTTTCTTTTTGTTTTTTAACTCTTCAAGATTTATCTTAGGGAGATTGGATTGCTTTTCTCTCCCTGTTGCTTCAAGGCATATTTTGTTAATTCAAATTACATTTTGGACATAGGGATGCTCAAACACAAAATTAGATTCTAATGGCAGATGCCAATGTTGTCCCTAGTAGGGAGTGCTTTGTCAATTTCCAAGACAGGATTCCATTCACAAAAAGAGTTGCTAGAATTCCTGACAAAAAGAAAAGAGCAGTGATTATATGCTCCTTAAATACTTTACACTCAGAAACTTCTTCCCTCCATCTGACTTTTCCTATGATCTCAAGTAATATTGCAGAGGTAAGAAGAAATGCCTTCCTATGCTTAGTCAGATACAGTGATCCTCAAACCTACCAGAATCAACATTTACTTCTTATCACAAAAAATTTAAACCCCATTTTACTATTCTGAAAATTATTTAAGAATTTCCTTGGCTTCCCTTATAGGGTGCAAAGCCCTGAGAAAATAATTATTTTGAGTGTTGCTCCCTTTTCATTAAAAGCATTTATTGCACCTAAAATCAAGAGGTAAGTACCTTTTAGTGTCCCATCATCATTTGATTCTGTAAAAAATAAGTACCAACCAACCAGGCAGCCCACCTTGAACTGAGGCTCTGCGACAGCTCTGAGACAATTTGTAGATGCAGATTCAATAACCATACTTTGGGGCATGTCTATACCTCAGATGAGAATTAGGAAGTAGAATAGCAGGCCAGTGGTGGAAACAGAGACTGGGGGCAACACAAGTCCTGGTCTCATGTTAGAGTACATTTCTGGGATAAAATCACAGGCCCCAGGATTTTCTAGCCACAAAAAGGAGATTTAGATATTTTCAAGGGGCAATGATCCTGCTTGACTATATCTAAAGACAATACTAAACATATTTTACAATTTTTGATATTAATAATGTTCCAATATACAAAGAAAGAAAAAGAAAAAGAATTTATAATAAAATATATATGCTTTTCATGCCTGTCAGAAGGCTTAATGAAATTTTCAGATGCTTTTGGCCTTTTTTTCTTAATTCTTTATTTATCCTAATTTGTTATATATGATGGCAGAATGCAACTCAATTCTAATTACATATAGAGAGCACGAAATTTTCAAGTCTCTGGATGTACACAATGTAGGTTCACACCATTAGTGTCTTCAGACATGTACTTGGGGTAATGATGTCCATCTCATTCCACCATCTTTCCTACCCTCCCTTTTACTCCCTCCCTTTGCCCTATCTAGAGTTCATCTAATCCTCTCATGCCCCACCCCATCCCCAATATGAGTCAGCATCCTTATATCAGAGGAAACATTTGGCTTTTGGGTTTTTGGGATTGGCTTACTTCACTTAGCGTAACATTCTCCAACTCCATACATTTACCTGAAAATGCCATTATTTTGTTCTCTAATTTTAATGTGGAGTGATATTCCATTGTGTATATATAGCACATTTTCCCTATCCATTCATCTACTGAAAGGCATCTAGGTTGGTTCCACAATTTAGCTATTGTGAATTGTGTTGCAATAAACATTGATATGGCTGTATCCCTGTAGTATGCTATTTTTAAGTCCCTTGGGTATAGACTGAGGAGTGGGATAGCTGGGTCAAATGGTGGTTCCATTCCAAGTTTTCCAAAGAATCTCCATACTGCTTTCCAGATTGGCTGCATCAATTTGCAGTCCCACCAGCAATGAGTGAGCCTTTCCCTCTGCATCCTCGATGATTTTGGCCTTTTTTTAATGAATAGATTTGAGTTTAAGAGAAAAGGGTTACTGTTAGCCATCCTATACAAGTGTAGGAAAATGAAAGGACAGAGGAATAAACAGATTCTAGAAAAAAATAGGATTAGGATACTGAAACCACTCATATTTATATACGATAAGAGAGAGAAATGCTTTTTTAAAAATTGGGTGTTACATATCAGAATCAAAGATTGCCAAATTGAAAATAAGGATGTGAGAACTTGTAAATGAGCTTAGTGTTTGTAAATGCATTGTTAAAGAGATTCCTGTGTTATGACATGAGCCTCAGGGCATTATTGCCCTTAAGCTGGAAAATTTGTTTTTGGACTACTATTATGAATACTTAACCATGAATAACAGTTTATCATAGGTTGGAACAAAATTCAATTTCATACATTTTTGTGGATTTTCTCATGTGTTAGTGAATCTGGTGGGAATTTACAGATGTTTTGCTCTGGTCACATTTAATATACTTACTCTAGATAACTATAGGGCTTTTTATTACTTTATTTATTTTGACAGAAATAAGGAAGTTGCAAATGCCTATAATTGCAGGTAAACTCCATTTCACAAAGGAAATACTGGTTCAAACTATGAAATTGACATTATGCAATCAAATTCTTTCCAGTCTTATGTATAAAGTACATTGATATTGAAAGTGGGAAGGTATAAATGATATTTTATTTACTAATATAATCATAATATTTTGGATTTGGGTACATTGTGATTTGCAAATTCATTGTGCACATATTTGAACAGTGTGGTTGACTCAAGAAGAAACATAATGTTTTCTATAGTTAGTTCTACATGCATTCTGATGAAATGTATCCTATCTCCATAGCTAAGAAATGGGATAAAGGAAAATGAACAATAATGATTTTATATACTTGATTACTACCATTTTACTATATTATAATGGGTATGTCGGTCTTTAAGAGTTTGGGATTAAAAATAAGAAACAATTACTAGGTTTGGCTACTATAAAAATAGCCTCCAAAATGCCACTGGTGCCTCCTAGACATTCATAACTCGAGTATTTAGAGGTTAGGATTAAATGTCATTATTAAACATATCATTCAGATTTCCCACATTTTGTATGTTGCTTCTACTGACAACTTTGCTCTCTTTGTAGTCTTTGTATATATTAATGCAATTTCATTCATTTCTCAACTTGACCATCTTCCCCTGAGAAAGATAAAGGATGAGTATGGGATTTTGTTTGGAATATTTAACATAAAACGATAACACTAGATCACATTCCTTCAAGCTATTTTTGTCTTCTTAGCAAGGTTTTCTGCTTAATAAATATAATTAAGTCTCACCATCAAGATCTGAAATTCTCAGTACTCTTCAATATCCAATTGAGTCTGTGTTAACTCCAGTGTTTTCTTCCCTAGGAAGAAATCATCATAAAGTTTCAGGACCACAAGAGAGTTCTTAGGGGACAAATGGTTGTTAACACTGGACATTGAATTAGTCAGTTTCTCCAGAGAGAAAGACACATGAGTATATCAACAGATGCATGACAGGTGACTTTTTTAGGAAATTGGCTTACATGATCACAGTGGCTGGGATGTCACACAACAGGCCCTCTGAGGTCACTTTTTCCTTTGGGAATCTTTTTGCCTTTTCTCTTATTTCTACTTTTGGGCCAGTTCTATGAATCAATCATCTCTAATCATCTGCCTTATAAAAACAGAATTGGATGCTGGGATGTAGTTTAGTTACAGTACTTCCCTAACATGTGCATATAAGGTGTGTTAGAGTCCCAGATACACACACACACACACACACACACACACTCGATTTGAAGTAAAACACATTTTTCTTTAGTTAGTTCCATTTGCCATTCGATATAGATTTTTTTTCTCCTCAGGCTAGTACCAGGACTATTCTGTTTGCTAAACAGTGTTTTCTGTATTATTCTCACCATCATTTCTGTCTCTACATTTTAAAATAGTAAATAAGATATTTGTTAACTTTTGCTAATGTGCATGTGAATGTAGTCACATGTGACTGTTGTTATCCCTACTGGAGTACCACCCACAGCTGCATAAATAGTTTCAAGGGAAATGTGGGCCTAGGTAATTTTGGGGAAATCATCCAATTCTGTTTGGACTCTTTTCTAAAAGAGCTAGAGAATATGCCTATTGTTTGGGGTGAGGAAGTTGCTTTTGTTTGGCTTTGGTGTTTTCAATGTTCATTTTGCATTTTTTGTATTCACTAAAACTCCATACCAAATTTCCTTTTATATCATTTTATTTACAATTTTATGCTTCTACTCTTATAAAAGAAAACCATCTTTCAACACCCCATATTGCCTCAAGGAAAAGAACCCTCAATAAAGGGAAAAGCTGAGTCATTGGTCTAAGAGAACATTTCCTTTAATTGTAGTGTGAAAATGCTGTGGTATGTCTTCAATCTGTCTTTGTCATATTTAGATTATGTTAAGAGCAAGACATGGTATTATATATAGATATTTAGGCTGTGTCACAGTGTTTGGCACAGTGATACATTATGGAGTGGAGGCAGTAGCAAGATTAAAATTTTCAAATAATGTTTTGCAACTTCTATAATCCTGTTATTATCAAAGAAGCTTGCTCTTAAAGGATAGGTCTCTATGAACAGTGAAGAAATTTGTCAAGAAACATTAAAATATGAGTAAATTTATTAATTTTTCTACAAATCTACGTGAAAATCTTAAGAGTTAAATGTAAAAGATAATTTTGAAAACCAATTGTTAATTATCACTTGTAATTGATTTTTTTTTCTATTTTTACCAATTTCAGGAGAAATGGGTCTCAGGGCCCTCTGACTAACTTGTGTCTCAACTATATACTTTGTATGGTTTTAATAAGGAAGAAGCAAAAGTCCCTACATTTACATTTTGATTAAAGAAAACATAAAATATGGACTTATATATTTTCATGACTATTTATACTCATTAAATATTACAATTCGACCTTTTAAAATTAAAAGTGCACGTTTCTAGCTCACAGTTATATGTTCATAAAAAGCATTAACAAAAGGGACCTAGCCTATTCTTTTTTCTTTAAACAAGGAATACATTCTTCAAAGACAACAAATGTCTCCATCTTTAAAACTTATTAACGTACCAGCAATCTTCATATAGTTGTTTTGTGTTTGTTTCAACATGAAATATAAAGCTTTCCTATTATTGATCCATGCAAATATAACAGACCATAAAATAATGCTCATATGAGAATATGGCCTTTAAATTTTCTCTGTGTTGATGTCTCTGAAATACTATGAAATCATTCATTCATTACCTTGGTCAGTTTATATTCCAAAAGTTTCCCATGAGATGGCGCTCCCTAGTGGTAACCGAACAGACCATAAAGAAACAATCTTGAACATGGGATGTCTCAGTCTCAGTTGTTAGTCCAGAGCAAATTGGGACATACTCTCTCTCCTTTAGATGTTTTAGTTCTAAAATGAAATAAATATATTGTTATTCTAAGACTTAAGAGACATGTGGTTGATAAAGTCCTTTGTCTAAAGGTTAAAGTTCTCAGTGTATGGAATCCATATTTACTCATGTGAAAAGGAGGAAAGGGTACTATAGTCATAATTTGTCATTTAATTAATTGATTTATTTAATGAAAAACATCTTGAATATGTATCAGATAGCTTTTATGTATTCAAAAGGTGTAATATAAAATATATGTACAATCAGATAAAATACAGGAAGTAAACTGCTAGTTATCACTGTAGCAGCTCTCTAGATAAAGGCAGTCCTGACTCATTTAGTGGCTATAAAATCATCAAAATTGTATTATTCCTTTAAAGTAGCATGTAAAAGATAAGAGAAAAGATATAGATATCAAAATTTTAGTAGTGATTTATTGGCCTCTTTCATCACTAAGGAAAACATGAATTAGCAACTCAATCATCAAAGTATGCTTTAAATACCAAGAAAATGACTGGAAGTCAAGGAGAATATGCATTAATTGATTTCAGAACACATCCAGCCCAAATTTTCTTAAGGACATTAAAAGATTGCAGGTTGGCATTTTATAGGAATGATATGACAATTTACATAAACGGTTTCCTGTCAATGTTTCTCTTTTTCAAGAAAACTCTGATCTGGCAAAAATGTTCTTAACCCTAAGGGTGGCAGCAGAGATAAGCCATTCTCCTATTATTAATAATATAAACACTTATAAGTTTTTAATCTTTCTGACAAACTGGTAAAGCAATTTAGAGATTTTTAACCTTGTGTCTTGTTAAAAGAAAAACTTTAGTCTCATTAAATTTGGCACAGTTTATTTGAATGAATTAAGATTCATTCTGAATAGGCAGCACTCAGAACCAGAAGAGGTTCAGAGAGCTTAGCTCAGTGGTGGTAACTGTGAGCATCTATTTATAGGCTGAACACAGAAGAAAGTAGAGAATTAACCTGTTGAGTTACAGCTAAGCATGTGTTTTTTTGGGGGATGATGTGACTACCTATGACTGCTTGAGAGTTGTCTAGTGGTTTTACGAAGTTAGGTTTGGGTTCGTTTTACATAGACGTTAGACTGTAGTTCACTAGTTAGAAACCAAAAATATGGAGACAGCCTCACACTAATGGCCTCCTGCTAATTTAATTTAACATTTTCATAACACACACACACACACACACATACATACTTAATATTTTTAATAGTATTTATGCAAATAAGAAACTAAACATTCGTGTGCCCCAATTGTGTACAATAAATCAAAATGCATTCTGCTGTCATATGTCCCTAATTAGAATAAATAAATAAATTAAAATAAAAAGTATGTTTTTTTTAACCCTATGTTTTTGAAATGAGAAAATACCACATCTAAAATTTAGTCATTAATTGAGTTATCTTTCCTCTTGGCTCAGTGCAAAATAATATGTTCAGTCTTTATGGTGTTTAGAATCCTTTTATGTAGCAGATTAATATTATTAATTAGATAAATAATCAGCTTTACTATTAATTAGTATGTCTACTTGCTTCAAGGACCAGTATAATACTACTGGTTCTAGTTATTTGATAGAAATTAAACAAGATTTTTTAACCTGAATAGTGTTAAATTTTTACCTGGCTAACTTAACTGATAGAGTGGTTGAACAAATAAATGTAAAAGTGTTATGGAAGGATAACAGACATTTATTCTTACCTTTATATATATATATATATATATATATATATATATATATATATATATATTCACACACACATATATATATATATATATATATATATATATATATATATATACACATATGCATGCATACACAGAGAATGGGGAAATATATGGATGTGAGGAAATATTCAGATAATATATTGATTTTATGATCAAATTAGAGATCTCTATGTCTTGGAATCTGCTATATCTGAGTGACTAAGTACAACATATTTTAAAAGTCACTCAAAAACTATAACTTTACCAGCAAAGACTGAGAGACTAGATATTGCTTGCCCCTCCTGATCCGCTTTCAATCTCTTTCCACTCATAGCCCTGTCTTGGGAGTTAAAGAAATACTTTTTTTTCTGGTTTCTTGTTTGTTTCTGTTGGTGGGAGACATTATCAAGAAAGAATTGATGTATTTAATCTGAACAACTCACTAATGCAAACATTTTGTAGTGGCTTTCTCTGTACCACCTATTCAGCAACCTCTCTCCAACTACAATTTTCACTTGCTTCTGACCACAGCCCCCTCTCCTTACTACTTCAGGTTTACTAGTTACTGACTATCAGGTTCTTTATCTTAATCCTTAGCCCTACCCCTACATAAATTATCCTTTCAGTAAACTGTGGTGGATAAAGTCTCTGATTGTGCCTCCTGGGGTGACCAGCCACTCTGGATGGAGTGGTACTCATTATTTTATTTTCATCTTGAAAGTCTCAGTCCTTAGCCCTGTGCAAATTGTAATGGTTGGTTATTCTGTATTTTTTAATAAGAGTGTGTCTAATATAGATGGCTAAAATATTTAAAGTTTTGGTAAAAATATGCTATTTGGTAGAATGATGGGGAGGCATTTGGAAATAAAAAAAGGTTACATTTGGTTTCAAGATAATTGGCTTTTTTGTAGCAAAGGATGTAGAAAGTTTGGAGAAATTTTGCAAGAATAAGAAATAAATATATAAGGTGTACCTGATACGATACAGCATATCAGGAACTGTGGCTGTTGATTCTATAATATTCATTTAGTTATGTCATAAAAGTGCTGTACTAAGGTAGTACTCTGTAAAAAAGTACAAATAACGTGCTAAGTATGTGAAAATTGCCTACAATTATTAAATAAGTTTACAGCAATCTAAAAATCTATAATAATACCTTACAAAATATGTTTATGTCACAATTTTATATGTATATGCCTGACATAAGTTGAAAATTTCTACATCAACAACAATAAATAAAAATGAATTTGCACTTTCTTTACATAATTTACTTAGGCATAATTTTATAAATAAGTGGAAATAATATGTAGTGAATGGAATTTTGATATAAATTTCAACCTATCATCTACAAGGAAATCATCTCCAACTTATTTGGGACTAGAAAAAATTACATCTGCCCTGATGTGATCCAGATGCATTCCCTGTAACTAATTTTCCACTGTTAATTTTTTGAAGTTGTTAATATTTACCAAAGATCATATGTTGTTGATACATAACTCAGAAGTTTTCTCTCAGTATGTCATCATGGTCACAGGTTCCCCTCCTTCTATCAATCCTCCCTCTGGGACAGTTTGTACTACTTATTAATAACTTTTTAATGACTTCCAGTAAGGATATTTCACTGATATATTGGAATTCAACTTTCTGTTTTTGGTTTGTTTTTCCCCAATGTTGATTATCCTACAATTTGGTAGCTCACATTCTTTTCTGTGGCCTATTGTGTTTAATGGAACATTCAGTATCTTTTGACAAGATAAAAAAGATAATCCCCTTATAGTGAAATGTTTTACCAGATATCTCCCAATATCATGTAGGTTAAACTTTCAGTTTATAAAACAACAATATTGTCAACAATTAATTCAGCTGTGTACCTACTATGTGCCAAATCCTGTGCTATGTCATAAAAGGGAGATTTGAGTAAAATGTAGACTGTGATTCCAAGTCTTGTGGGGGATAGAGACATGATAGATAGATGATAGATAGATGTATATCATTCTATTTAGATTTCGTTATGTTCTCAACCATTGAAATTTCAGAAATTTGCTTTCATATACAAGAAGTAAAGTCAAATTGCGAAAGGAGTTTCTAGTTGGAGAGATAAGACTCTGACATTTTTTTTTCCTCCCTAACAATTTAGATGTCTTATTTAAAGTTCCTCTTGGCTTCTAGGCTGTTATTTCTTTTTATGAGTTGTCAAAGAGTACTGGTAAATAAACAGTGCAGCAATCTCAAGTACATTAACCAGGGTTTTGGAACCATATAATATGTTTTCTAGAGGGAAACCCAGATAACACATAGATGAATATATAATTTTGCAGAAAGAGCCTAGAAATTGAAATTGTTAACTAAAGTTGAAACAAATAAATAGTGGCATGACTGTCACTGGGAATAATCTCTATTTCATATAAAAATTAAGTAGTCTGTTCTATTCTACAACTTTAGGAGAAATAAAGATACTTGGGATCCCATTGAAGCACACACTGTTGGATCCCACCTCCAGAGTTTATGATTCAGTGAGTGTTATAGATAGGCTGGTAATCTGCATTTCCAAGAAGCTTCTGCACACACTGAGCCATGTGATGTGGCATGAATCTTGAGAACTTTGATAAGTATTTTTAACTCCTAGCTTCTGATAATTCAGTATTAGCAATTTCTTACTCAAAACCTATATTTCTTTCCTTTGGATAAGACATATCATCTATCTTATCCAGATAGTACAGTTTTATTTATTCATTCATTCATTGTTTCACAGTACTAGGGATTAAACCCAGGGCTTTACCCAAACTACACAAGCACTACCACTGAGCTACACCTCTAGCCCTCTCTGCAGTACTTTTAAAGGGTTTATTTGTTAAAGGTTTGGTCTAGGACCTGAAGATTTTTCTCTTAGAAATTACTTGTTTATTTAACTTAGAGCCAGTTAACATATGCTTGCTTCTTAAAATACTGAATAAGTAAACACATTTTTATCATGTTACTGCCCTTTTTTTTCATAGTTCAAAACTGCCCTCCAACACCATTCCTAAATTTCCCATTCTTTCTAATTCGTAAACAATGTCCAAGGATTATTCTGTCATACTTTCTAATCCCCTTTTGGCCCCTTGTCCTGCTTTTATCTTCCCCAAGTTCAGCTGGTCATGCCAGTTGCATTCCAAGTATCATATTTGTTTTGCTTCACAGATACAAGATGACTAAAATCATCCTTCTTTTAAATAAATTATAGTTTCTAAATATTTATAAGATTTTATAAATATAATACTCCTGGGGTCCTGCCCTAGCGGGGTCCAGGGAGTCCTGAAGGATGAGTGGTGTTGGCGAAAAGATGAGACAGGAGTCGTTCTGTTGGAGCAATCTCCAGAGAGAGATCTCTAATGCAGCTTTCTCTGGGTCACCTTTTATTACAATTTTTCTCATAATTATAGATTCAGAATACGTCATTGATTATATAATTTAAAACTTTGCCAAGACATAACATTTCCTTAACCATGATTGGGGGTACAAAAAATGTAACATTAATTTACATTTTTCCAGGATATGACCTTTAGTTAGTTAATTATTAAAAGTACAGAATCATTAATAAAATATGTCACTAATTTACATTTTTCAGATTTTCCCAGGATTTACTATTTTCCCCAAGATGTGCTATTTTCTTATTAACTAATGCCAAACTACGTAACCAGACTCTAAGTCTCCTAACCAATCATTAACCTTTAAGTTTAAAGTACACTTGTACTTTATTTCTAATCTAAAATTCCCATATAAAAAAGTCCCCTTAAATCTTATACTTAAAACATCCTAAAGTTTATAAATCATTCTTAAAACATAACAGAAACCCATACAACTAAAAACTTAAGAATTTCTAAACTTAAGAATCTAAATAAAATAATATTTCTAACATTATTCTAAAACTGCGTCTTATAAAGCTATTTTAATTAATTCCTAAATTTATTCTCATAAAACTGGTTGAGTTGCTTTCTCAAAGAGTTTCTTTGTTTCTCAGTCAAGGTGCACTAGTTCTCATATCTTTATAATCTTTCTCAATAGAAAGTAAGTTCTAAACATCAATCCACTTTCCACCAATATTAACTATGCTCATCATAAATCCTTATGTAAAGTAAAAAAGGGTTTATAAAAAGAGAAGAATACATCTTTATATGTTTTAACTTTCCTAAGTGTATAATATAACTTTCCTTAATCAACAATGAGACTACATGTGGTGAGCTTTGTAAAATAAGCATAATGATTAGGTTTTCTTAAAGGCCGGAAATATGGGCTTGGGTTCTAGTTGATATAATCAATGTGGTGCCTAAAATTCTCATGACCTTTCAGAGGATGATTGTTGTCCATTATCAGATTTGTCCACAATGTACTGAGATAGAAGAACAGCCTTCTACTTTGTCCTTGATATGCTGAGGGGTAGTAGAACAGCCTCCAAGGCATGAACTACCTGTTATGTTCTAGCCATCTGAAATTTCATTTGTTTGGCATTTAACATACTCATGCCTCCTGTCAGGAACATAAGCATGAAAATGAAAAGTCCCAGTTACATAAAAAAGGGTCTCATGGTTTCGGTTTCCCACCAACCAGCGTGGCTTTGCCAGCATTCATCCTCACTGTGACCCTGTCAAGACAGTGGGAGAGCAGCTTTGTCAGCACTTTTTCTCACTGTGACCCTGTCAAGACAGTGAGTGGAGGATCGCCTTCACCATAATCAAAACCAAAACCTAAGTGCTTTAACTGCTTCATTTAAAAAATAAAATAAAACACTTTTCAACATCAACGTGTCACTTTTGTGTCTTATAGTGCAACTTTAGAGCCTTTCTAGTCAATTGTCAATTACTTACATACATTAAATTTTTATGCACATTCCTTTTTTGTGTGTGTGGTTCTGGGTATTGAATTTGGGGCCTTACACTTGCTGGACACACATTTCTTTTTTAAAAAAAATATTTTTTTAGTTGTAGATGGACACAATATCTCTATCTATTTTCATATGGTCCTGAGGATCTAACCCAGTGCCTCACATGTGCAAGGCAAACGCTCTACCACTGAGCCACAGTCCCAGCACCACATTGCTTTTTTGTTAAAGGAATTAAGTATGTTTTCCGAAGGAAAAAAATTCAAACATTTAGATAAAAACTAACTAGGATTTTTGAAGCAAATATTCAATCAACTACGACTATTTCTTCTTATCTCTGGAATGAAGATCCTCATAGAAAATAAAGAATTATCATGACACTTTACCACAACCCAGGTGAAGAAATTGAAAGAGTTCCTGTTTATTGGCTTCAGTTCTTCCTTTCTTCATAATTTGGTAAAGCAGCAATTATTGGACAAGCATGGAGCTATTGTGAAAGTAAGAATTAATTTTGTTTTTTGAGAATTTAAACACATACTACAGAGACAATATTTGAGAGGAGACTTGTTTCTGAACAAAACTTTGGTAGGAAGAATGGGAAGTGTTTGAGGCATTTTATGAGCCTTAATTTTTCAGTATGATTCTAAAAGGTTAGAGAAACCTGAGAGTATCCAAGTAGAGAAACCAGAGTCTCATGTTAGTCTCCTTAACTTTGAACCTAGAGGATAAGCCTTCAGCAGGACTGACTATATTATTTTTCAGGGGGAGGTGTGCAGTGTATAAGTGATGTTGGGTTCCATGCTAATGACAATAGAACATTAAACCAAAGTCAGTGCCCTTCTGATGAAGGGCCTGCGTGACAGTTATACCATGGAGCTTTGTCTGGGTTACAAAGCTCAATTCATCTGAATAAGAAGAAAATTCTAGGAGTTCAGAGTAAACGGAGCAGGGACGAATGGTTTGCATGTGTTTGAAGCACATCTGTACCTTACAATTAATTAGATGTCTTCAATGACAAACATAATTTAAGTAAAAAGCAAATTGGAGTTTTTCTCCATTACAAAGCTCAAGTAATCTTTGGAGAATATCGGAAATGGCAATGAGCAATTTTATGAAATTTAAAATAATACAGGCTTTGAAAATCACATGACCCTCCTTTCCCTTAAAATGGGTGCCACATATTATCAGTCACATTATTTGGCACTTTACCACAATACACTTCAACTATATTATACAGTTACTTGGCCTTAATTATCTTCAGCTTCTGTATCCATAGACGCAACCAATCATGGATTGAAAATATGTGAGAAAAACTTGTCTGTATGAGCACTTATATACCATTATTTCTTGTCATTATTTTTTAAGTGATCCAATGTAATGATTATTTTCATAATGTTTACATTGAATTATGAATTATAGAAGTACATAAGTGATATAAAGTATACAAGAAGACACTAATTGTCCTTAGATACTGAGGAGCAACTGTACTTATCCTAATGAAGTATATGCATTTGTTTATTTTTCTATATTACTCAGTTTTGTGAACTCAGGGAGGAATTTGCTACATCTTGCTACAAGGTCAGAGACTATACAGAATTGCTGCTCAAGAAATGTATATGGGATTAATACTCTAATGTGAATGAGACTCACCCTTAGAGCAAGGTCATTACTTATAAAACATACTTAATTCCATGTGTAAATAATTTTAATCTTTAGGAGGAAAGCTCTTATTCTGATTGATTTATTGTTATATAATAGTACATCTGTATAAATGATGAGAGAACAGGATGTCTCTTCTTAGCAGGCAATGCATTTGTTTATGTACCTTGAACTCACGTCAGACTTCCTCTTGTATGACTGGCGGCAGCAGGACAGCTCCATCCATGATTTCATTTGAGTCAGTATGCTGTTACCTTAAGATGGCTTCAAAGTATAGCCTGACTTCTCAAAGCTTGTGTGGTCTATGGAGGGAAAAACAAAAATTAAAATTAAAAACTCATCTTCAAAGTATACACATGTGGTATCTAAAACCATATACACTCCAGAATCTTAACGGCACTGCAATATATAAGGTTAAAAAATGTGTTCAGATTGTTGTTGTATCTGGCGTTGCAAAAATAACTGCTTCCTGGCTTTTATGTAATTAATTTTGCAGGCAAAAGGCCAAATGCACTATTTCTCAATTTTCCCTTTTGAGTCTTAATCAGCTTTCACAGAAACTCAGAAGAAACTCTTGAAAGCTACAGCTAGCTCTCAAAGTTAATCTACTTATGAAAATCAACTACAAATCATCAGTATTATTTGGCAATACTCTATACTCTTTGGAATCACCACATCTTTATCTTTCTCTTCTCTTACCTTATAGTTTATCTTCAAGAATATTTTGTATTTTAAGACAGCATAATGATTTAATTTATCAAAACTGAAAGTAAAAAAATGACAACAGAAACAAAACCCATCATTTTACATTTCTAATGAAAGAAAAAAACATATATCCAAATATCATATCAAAGAAAGAATTGATATGATACTGAACATATAGTGATTTGGTTCCACATGAGAAAGCTGATATAGCTCATGCCTTCACAGAAAGCATACACAAATATGATATTCCAGATGTTCCAATTATCATAGAAGTAGAAGGTCCGAAGGCTGCATTACATGGTGAACTTAGGAATAGATGTCTCCTGAGTGAAATAATCCTGTGTATAAAATTTATAATGGACAAGTGTCAGGGTACACACTAATCAGTGTTTATATCAAAATGTATTCTACTGTCATGTATAAGTAAAAACAACCAATTAAGCTTGTTCTTGGCAGTGAATACCAAGGACTCTAAGAGGAAATGAGGAAGGGACACTGGACTCATCTTTTGTCTCCAGGACTTAGGTGCAGACAAAGCAGAGCAATGTTGGTTGCAAAGTAAAACAATGTTCTTATAAAACATCTAAAGAAATCCACCTGCACCCTGGGTGTGTAACCTACCCTAAATATTCTCTCTGCTTGAAGGTGTGGAGTAACTCTCCATTTAGTCCCAGTATACTACCACCAAGGAGCATGAGAATAACGACATGTCCAAATGAGCTCTGTGGAGTCCTACCACTTCTTTCTTTAGGATAGGCAAACAGTACTTTTACAGCCCTGAGGTTTGACACAGGGTTTTGTCAATGAGCAGACAATTTTGGCAGGTTCAAAATCTTTGTATTTTTGTTTTATCTGATAGTATTGGATGTTATAATATGTGAAATGTATAAGAACTTAAAAACACATTTGAACTTATAAATTAAGCAAAATCAGATTTTCACTTTCCTCTTCAACATAAAATGAGCTTAGAAATTGCCACTCTTTGCTATCAAAATATAGACACTTAAACAAATGAAAAACCCCCGTGTTTAGATTTGTCATGAAGTAAGGTCCCAGGGATACAACTTCTCCTAAATTGGAGAAAAGGACAAGAAGTTATAGAGAATAACAACTTCTTAGAGCAGGTGCCCACCCATAGAAAGCTCCATGGAAATCAATACCGGAGGAGAACTCAAAATGTAATTGAGGAATTTTATGAGTCATAAGAAACCCATGGGGATCCAGTTTTTAAGAGGGACCCCTGTACTTTCAGGTTTTGCTTCCAGGGACTTTAATAGGTTTTCCACACTAAAAAGCAGAGACAAATTCCATCAAGTTCCCAGAGGATCATTGAAATATATACCAAAGCATTTTACTCCACATAAATTTCTTTCTGTGTTCCTGAGGAACTATTTTACTATAATATAATCCACTAGGGTTTTAGAAGACCTTAACTGATCTGGGTGAAGGGAAACTTCCCAACTCTAGCTGTCTTTAGTTTTCATGTGGGGAAATGGAAATATCTCACTCCAGTCCCCTTTCACTATTTTTACCACTTAAAGAGTGGTTAAAGAAAACAAGACAAAGAAGCATTCAGAAAAATCAGAGCCCAGGAGCATAAGCTCACTGAAAGATTAACATCAGAGATAGCTGCACTCCTAAGTTTATTACAGCACTACCTTCAATAGCTAAGATGTAGAATCATCCAAGGTGTCCATAGGAGATGAATGGATTTAAAAATACTTGGCATTTAAGCATTAGGAAGTATTATTCAGTCACAAAACAGAAAACCCTGTGGTGAGATGAAATGGAGAGAGGAGTAGACTATGTTAAGTAGAACAGGGCAGACACAGACAAATACTACATGATCTTTCTTGTATGTGGCAGCTGAAAGTTAATTTTATAGAAGTAGAGAGTAGAACAGTGGTCATTAAAGAATATGAAGGCTGTGGAAAGGAGTGGAGTGATATTGGATATGGGTATAATAATATAGTTAGGAAGAGTAAATTCTAGTGTCTTCTAGCAGGAGAGAATTATAGTTTATAATATATTACATATTTCATAAAGAAGTTCATAGAAAAGAAAGACATGATAAATATTTAAGGAGATGAAAGTATAAATTATGCTTATTTTATTATTTTACACATTATATCATATGTTCAATTATCATACCATACATATATATAGAATCTGTGTGTGTCAAAAATTTTAAAAACACTGACTTAATATTAGAACTATAGAACACTTCCTCTTCTTTGATTGATTACAACTATATTACTACAGGCTTATTTACCACATTTCCTTTTATACACATGCCTACATTTCCAAACAAAGTTGCAAGGCACAATAAAGAAGAAAAACAAAAAAGGAACCAATTTGAAACAGTGCAAACATCAGAACCATTTATAGTAGGGTTATTAGACATCATTTTTTAAAAAGCAACTAGGTTAATTATGTTAACATCCTAATGGAAAAAGTAGGTAAGATGCAGAAACAGATTGATAATACAATGAAAGAGATGTAAATTTAAAAATTCTAGATAAACTGTCAGAATGGAAGAATGCCTTTGATGGGCTCATTAGTAAACCAGACACAACCGAGGAAAAACTCTGAGCCTGTGAAATTTCAGTAGAAATTTTCAAAACTGAAAAGCTAAGAGCAAAAAGATGGAGAAAAATATAACAGAATACCCAACAATTGTAGGAAAATTATAAAAAGTTGTAACATACATGTAATATAAGCTCCACAAACACAATAAAGAGAGAAAAGTACAAGAGAAATATTTGATGCAGTAATAAGTTCAGGCAAATTTTCAGAATGTCAGACACCAAACAATAGATCCAGGAAATTCAGAGAATTATAAGAAAGAATAAAAACCATTTAGACAACATAATATTCAAACTGAATAAAGTAAAGATAATGAAAATAAATCTAGAGAGAAGTCATAGGGGAAATCTTAACTATACAAGAAAAAAGAAAATAATTATAACAAACTTTCCCTCAGAAACCAGAACCCTATATGTTGTCTACAAGAAAACCATTTAAAAATTGGAAATATGTACATATTAAAAGTAAAGAATTTTAGAAAGATATTATGCTACACACATCAACAGAAAGCAGATGCAAGACATGGTGATGTAGCTACACAAGAGGCTGAGGCAGGAGGATAACTGAAGCTCACATGTTTGAGATTCCCAAGAATAATATAGTAAACCCCATCTTAAAAAAAAAAGCAATAAGTAACACCTATCAAATCATTAAAATACATGAGATAAAATCTTATAGAAGTGCAAGAAATGAGTCTATTTTGTTATTGTTTTTACTTTTATTATCAGAAATTTTAACACCCATTTATCAAAAAATGGATCTAGCAGGAAGAAAATCAGTAAGAATATGGTAAAAACTATATATATTTGCATAGAATTAACCTCTATGAACCACTTATTCCATAAATTTTTTCTCAAGCTCACCTGGAGCATTCACTAATAAAAGGCTGTCTGGGTATGGTGGCACATGCTTGTAAACCCAGGCTCTCTGGAAGCTGAGGTAGGAACTTCAGGATTTCAAAGCCAGCCTCAGCAAATTAGGCAGTCCCGAGTCCCTGTCTCTAAATAAAATATAAAATGGGCTGGGGATATTGCTCAGTAGTTAAGACTCCTAGGTTAAAAACAATCATATTCGGGGTCATAAAGCACATCTTAACAAATTTAAAAGAGTAGAAATCAAGTCAAACACTGTGGCATATGCCTATAATCCCAGGGGCTCAAGAGACCGAGGCAGGAGGATCACAAGTTCCAAATAAGTTTGGGCATCTTAGTGAGACTCTGTCTTAAAATCAAATCAAATCAATCAATCAATCAATGGGTTAAGGACTTAACTCAGTGGTAAAATGGCCTTGGATTCAATTCCCAGAATATAACAACAGTGACAACAACAACAACAAAGAAAGAAAAAAAATAAAGAAATCATACAATGAATGCTCTCAGACATCCATGGTATTAAAATAGAAAACAATAACAGAAAGATTGCTGAAAATCTCTCAAAATCCTGGACCAAGCAACATATTTCTGAGTTACACATAGGCAAGAGAAGAAATTACAAGGATATTAAACAGTGCTTTTTACTAAATAAAAATTCATCTTATAAAAATTTATGATGTAATGAAAGAAGCATTTAAAAGGAAATTCATAGCTTTAAATGCTTCTTTAGAGCAAGCAAGATCCAATATCAGTAATCTAATCTTCTCTCTAGTAGTCATAAAATTAAATCCAAACTAAAGAGAAGAAAACCAACAATAAAAATTAGAGAAGTCAATGAAACGGAAAACAAGAAATGAATATAGAAAATTTAAAAGCACAAATTCCTTGAAAAGATATGATGGTCCTCTATCCAAGGAAAAATGGGAGAAGGCAACAAATTACTAATATAATAAATAAAAGAGGAGATATAACTACAGAACTCATAGAAATGAGAAGGATAAAAAAGGAATATTACAAATTGTGTAACCACAAATTTGATAACCTATGTGAGATGGACAAAGTCCTTGAATGACACAATCTGCCAAAAATTACACAAAAGAAATAGACATTATGAACAGGTAAATATATTTTAAATAAAT